ACACATTTGTTATTTCAGACATCCCAACTCTCCCGGACGCTCCGGGAGCCTCCCGCTATTGGATAGCGGCTCCCGGCCGCCTGGGAGAGAAACACTTCCTCCCGGAAAGGTTTATCTGCTGGATCGAGCAGATAAACCTTTCCCTGCGATCGTTTTTTTTTTTCTTTTCTGACATCGGGAGCCGCAGCCCGACCGTCAGTCAGAAAAGAAACAAAAAGCCATACGAATCCATAGCTAGATTCCTATTGGCTATTGCACTTTGCAATAGCCAATAGCAAACTAGGTAATGTACCCGCCCACTGCTGCTGTCAGTCAGCAGAGGGGGACCTGAATTTTTCTATCAGGTCCTCTTCTGGTGATTGAAAGCCTTAAAACTATTTAAACTGACTGGGCTCTGACTCAGGTAGACCTGTCATCCCTTGAGAACGTCCATGTGACGAAACGCGTCGGGGGCAGGCCTACCTTTACGTCATTGTTCAGTCTTTTCTGCACTCAGAATGAGTGACTAGCCGGCTTTCCACGTTGAACTTTATGGTTTTTAAGGAATTTATGTAGCGCTTGTTTGTATCTATAATTTGGACCCATTAAAGTTGACTTTACTACGCTATGAGCGCACCTTTCGTATTGTTTGTCCGGATGGATACCCAATAGGAGAGATCAAACAGAAAAGATTCTAATTCCTTCATTTCGGAGCAGTAAGCAGGTCTGGAGCCTTGGGCTTCCACTAAACGGAGGAAGAGGACACACATCTTTGGGCCTCCACGGGATAAGAATATAGGCTTTCGATCATCAGGGATCTGGTGAGTGCATCCCCTATAGGGGATCTGCCTGTTTTTTCCTTTTTTCGGTGTTTTTCGTTGGAGACTTCACAACACTGAACATTTCTTTTGTTTTTTGTTTTTTATTATTTTTTATGTGTATTTCTATTCTTATTTTTATGTTCATCATTTTTTTGGGCTTCTTGTGTTGAAGATCCGAGAACTCTAAGAAAGTCAAAAAAAACTTTAAGTACATTTCCAAAAAATTGTTATAAATTCACATTTTTAAATATTTTTCGGAAGAAAACAACACAGACTGGTTTATAATGAGATGACTTCTATTTTCCACATATATGACACATGTTTTTAGTAGATTTCTATATATTCATATAATAAGATATTTTTAAGACACGTTTTTATGACAACTGTTATAACTTGTTACACAATAATTTATTATATACACACACTTTTTCATGATTGTGTGACACGGAGGTGACCTCACTTTGATCCCTACCGTTATTGAATTTCCTGAAGGGTATTTAGCGCTGTACATTTCGTTACATTTTAATTCTGGAGGCTTTTAGCCTGAGTTCAGCAGCTTTTCCCCCTACCCTTTGGTCTTAGAATTTTTATGGAATTTTAACCCTATGGTCATATTAATATTAATATTAATTTTAAATTGTAAACCTCTTTACGCACTTGTATTAATTCCATTAGCACAAGTTAGTTTAGATCACAATCTAGGACCATTCAAGCTCTCCTCTAAAGCATCTGTAGTGCAGTTTCTGAGTAGACGTAGTGAACCAAAGAAAAATCGTACAAACTCTAAGAAACAATAATTACCTTGCGTTGTTCTGAAGGTAGGACTTCTCAACAATTATTGAATCCGGAGTTGAATTCAGATATGGCAAACCCTGATACGGTAACCCTGAGTCCACCTCTTTCAACTGAGAGAGCAACCTTGAATCCAGGACTATGTAAAATGTGGTATCCAGGCCGTGACATGGAGACATAAAGAAAGGTAGGGACCAAGTAAGTCTTAAACACTGTGAATCTTGTGACCCTTTCTCTGTAGATCAGCTTTACATTTTCCCATCACTGATCCTTCACAGTTCTATCATCCAATTCCTCTTCCCAATTTAGCCTGGCAGTATCTTCCCTTTCAAATATAAATCCTAAACCTTAAAATGAATGGAGTTTTTTGCAAACAGTAGCAGATCAAAATCTGGATTATCCTGCAATGTCCAGAGAGCTTCATTTTTCTCAAAGTTGACAATAGGCCCAGAGGCTTCAGAGTAGGTTAGGATGGTTGCAGCTAACAAGTAGGCTTCATGGAGAGCACACTCCACTACAATGACATCATCCGCATAGGCAGAAACAAATAAGGGGACAGGTATTCCCTGAAATCCACACTCCTCCAGTGACCTCAGAAAAGGATCTTATAGCAGATACATACAAGAGATGCCTCAAAGGGAAAACCTTCCTTATACAGCCTGAACCCTAAGGCCTTGTTCACACCAAATGCAGACCAGATCCGGTCAGGTTTCTGCACACGCAGTGTAGTGGGTTGTGCCACGTTTTAGACGCGTTTTGGATGCGTTTTTGATGCGTTTAGGGCCGGTTTTGGTTAAAAAAAACATTTTTTTTTTTAAGTTTAACATGGGCTTTCAGGCACTTGCATGCGTTTTTTATGCGTTCCAGACCAGATCCAGAGCAGGTAAAATAGGGCTTGCCGCATTTTTTTCATCCGGTCTGGATCTGGTCTGCATCCGCACCCTGCGATGTGAACTGGAGGTCAAAATACCATAGGAATATATTGGACGCAGTTTTGATCCGGTCTGCACCTGCTCTGGTCCGGATCTGCTCCGTGCTTGGTGTGAACAAGGCCTTAAAGTGTCACCTTGCCGTCCTTTGATCAGAGGGAAGCTTTCAGCCTTTCTTAGCCAATCAATCAATAACCTAGGAATACCATACTTTAAAGCAGAACTCCGGCCAAACGTGTTCTTAACCCTTGCAGTCAGGGGCGTAACTACAAATCACAGGGCCCCATAGCAAAATTTTGTATGGGACCCCGTGTCCCCGACTCCTGTTCCGTCCCGGAGCCCCGCCTCCTCTGCTATCGACGGGCCCCGCCTTCTCTTACATCACTGGTCGCTGGCCAGTGATGTAAGAGGAGGCGGGCCCCGCCTCCATTCCGAACATAGCCCTCGTCTGCCGCAGCGGCTGGCTGTCACTGACACAGCTCCGCAGCGGCTATGAGGGAAATGCGCCGCAGCTGAGCTGTGTCTGTGACATCCAGCACCCCCACATGCCATAGCGACCCAGGCGGCCATGCCCGGGCCCCCCTGTGCCCGGGCCCCATAGCGGCCGCCTGGGTCGCTATGGATATTGTTACGCCACTGCTTGCAGTGGGGCTACCCCCGCACTGCAAAAATTAAGTGCTTGTTTTTGTCTGAGTGCTAAAAAAAAAGTTATACCCCCCATTCTTATTCTGTATATATGGACACAGAACTGTAGCATTTGTTTCTGTATGCTGGGTGTAATTCTTTGATCAGTGCCCATTTGAAATAGTTTAAAAACCTTTTAGATGGTAGTCCTAGCCCAGAGTCTACTTCTTCCTCCTTGCCAACTGACTGCATCTCAGGGAAAGGTCACATGCTTTCTGTTGCGTGAAAGCATTGAGGGGATTTATCAAAATTGGAGCAGACAAAAACTGGAGCAGACGTGCATGACAACCAATCAGCTTCTCTCTTCAGTTTGTTCAGTTGAGATTTGAAAATGAAAAAGAGAAGCTGATTGGTTGCCATGCACAGCTGCTCCATGTTTTGTCTGCTCCAGTTTTGATAAATCCCCCTGTGGGTATTTAACTGACAAGAGAGCGCAGAGAAGGTCATCATCAGCTGCAGAGGGGGTTGTTCTTACAAGAGAACCTGACACTTTGCCCTTAAAGAGACCCTATCTAAAGAAATGAAAATGGCAATCCCTTGCAATAGAAGAGGTAGTATACTTACCTCACCTGATGACCTGAGACTCCTACAGTAAACTCCTTGGGGTTGATTTACTACAGACAAACAAGCTGTTCACGTTGTAAGAGCATTTTAATTTAGCTTAGTGCATTTGGTGAAAATTCCCTTTGCAATGAGTACCCACGCATTTTTTGCTTGCACTTGATTGGATGATGGAAGTCAGCAGAGCTTCACCTTATTTACTAAGCTCACTGAAAATTCCCTTGCAAAGTGAACAGCTTATTTGCCTTTAGTAAATCAACCCCTTGAGATCTTCAACAATCAACACTTCTGGAATTGGCTGATGCTTGTGTCCCCCACTAAATGCTGTGATTCCTTCTTCCCAAATACAAAATACAGAGGCGTGTTCTGTTGCTCAGCCGCTGCGAGTGCTGAGTAATCAAACCGCAGCCGAACTCTGTGGGGCAAGTCAGCGTTCAGCACTGCTAACTTAGCACTCGCACCGGAAGTCAATGTGTATGCAGAGCGCTGAGTGTGGAGGTGGGGACAGAGCAACAGCGGCCATTTTAACTGTGGGCAAACCTGGCAGCACTGGCGAAAGGTGCCTGAACCCCGATGGAGGAAATCATATAAGTGTGGGAACCTACAATTTAATGTTTTGGTGGATGAGCACACCAATTATTAATGGGAAAATTGTATTTATTAGGCAGAAATATTATGCTCTGCCATTTTGCTTAGCAGTTTGCAGCCAAAGCATTCAGTGAAGCTGCTGAAGCAAACTGAAGTGCTGCAGAACAGCTACTCAACGCTGGGCTAAGGAACTGAACACGCCTAAGACATGACTCCCACTGGCAGAGGCATGTTGGGATTTGTAGTTAAAGCCTAGTGTGAACGAGCCCTTAGAGACCAGACAAGTTCTCTTTAAGGCTAGTATTTTTATTTCAAGAAAACGCAGCAACATTATAGCACTGACAATTACACGTCCTTCCTGGGACAGGAAGTGAGGATTTCAACGTACAAATCATGTGTCAGCAGGTTGGCAGGGAGTAAACACTTCTTTAACACGCCAATAAAAATATCGACAGCTCCGAGTCCTCAGCCCGGCAACTATTATATCTATTCCGAGGGAAATATAGCCTTATGGATCATGTGACATGGCCTAACCCAAGTCATGTGACTAAGACGTCAACTAGGCCTCTAGAGGAACCATTGACATTCGCCCTAGAAGTGCGCAGGCGCCTATTATAACACAAGCGTTACGTCAAACAGGTGCGGCCCGGTGACGTTACGCCGTCTTCTCCCAGTCATGTGCTAAGACTCCTAGAGTCAGGTGGTGGATGAGTCGTCAGTGACGTAATCCGGAAGCATACTGTCGCACGCGGAAGTAAGGGAGAACCGGACGGTGTTATTGAAAACCCGTACACTTCCCTTCCTGGGTTTCTGTAAGTGGAAGGTGTAACAGGGGAAGCGGAGTTGGCAGCGACCCGGGCATAACAATACGTCCAAGATACCGGGAGGAGAGATGGCAGCGAACGGGAACAACCTACAGGTAATCGGGTGGTGATGCTTCATTATAGGGTAATTAGATCGAAGATGTCCGGTCACCTGTACCATGGGAGCTCCTCTTTTGCTGCGTGTCAGAATATCTCCTCAGAGTTGATACCCGTCTATGGAAAAGAGTGACACTCAAGACATCTATTTAAAGCCCAAGTTTGTCATCTGCCATGATTGTGTAATGTACTTTGATCATAGCTCTCAATTGTCCATTATTTGGAGAGACTGTCCCGGTTCTTTGAACCACATCCCAGTCTTTATATTTTAGGTCAGATGTGTAGATCAGTATAAACAAAGTTTCCTGGCTGTCATGTCAGCTCTGACCCCCATGGCACAACCCTTGTGTAGACGAATACATTGATTCAACTCCAAATTGAATTTGTGAAAGGGGAGGGTGGGATCTTCTGTGTCAGAAAAAGGGAGTACAGAAAAAAATAAGTGCACGTTGTTTTGAAATGAACTGATCCTTTAAAGAGAACTCCAGGCAGAATAAAACTTAACCCTTGCAGTCAGGCTAGCCCTGCACTGCAAGGTTTAAAAGGGAACTATGGGGTAACCTTTTGATCCCATAGTTCTCTTTAGGATCACGGGAGGACATATACTAACCACCTCCCGTTACCCAAAGCTCAGTATATAGCGAGCTATTGCCCGCTATATACTGAGAGCACCGCAGTTGGGACGGATCCCAACAATACTGTCGAGATCCACCCAGTGGGCTAATTGACAGCTGTCTCTGCCTATATTGAAGCAGAGCCAGCTGTATCCACCCGCCTCCATGTCCGTTCCTCCAGTCAACAATGGAGGATCGGAGGGGTGATCCCTGCGGAGAGCGGTGGCTGAAGGTCACGGCTCTTTGCAGGGAGATGATCGGGAAGCGAGCGACGGTATGTGTTCACTCACTTTCCGATCTATAGAGTTGACGTGTGACAGTTTCAATGTCACGCGTTGGCTCTAACTATGAGGATGAGTGTAAATCACTCGCCTCATAGTTCTCTAAGTGCTCATTTTCATTTAGGGTCTATAATAACATATACTTACTCGATCATCTGTCCCACCTGGCTCTTAGACCTGTCCCTGCAGCCTCTCCTCCTCCGCTCTGGTGGTCTAATCACCTGTGAGTCATCAGGTTTAATACAGTGTATTAGATTTGAGGACGCCAAGGGACATGCCACCACCGGAGCAGAGGGGGAGAGAGGCGGAAGGGACCAAGGTTCGGGTGAGTATATTTTTGTTATTTTAAACCCTAGATAAAAACAAGCACTTAGCCCTTGCAGTGTGGGGGTAGCTGGCCGGAGATTTTCTTTAACCCCTTCTCATCCGGCCGTTGTAATAAAACGCCGGGAAAGTGTCTTCTTGAATGCAGGTGGACTTTTAAAACGTCTGCTTCTGCGTGCCGCCTTGCGCATGCCTGAGCAGCGAACTGTCATAATTTTAAACAGCCGGCAATGGCTGCTTACATACAAGCGTTTGTTGGGCGGCTATAGAACCGACTGATTGCTTGTATGTTGTGCCACTCCATGCGCACCCTCCACCGCCGCCTATCTCTGCAGTACCACGTGCGGGCCCGGGATCAGCATACGATCTCCCGCTGATCTCCTCTACAATCTCTGAATGCGGGAGTGATGTGTATCGCATCCCTTTCGCCTTCAACTGTCATTTCTCTGGCTTCTGTAGCCGGAGAGAAGCTGGGGAAGCAGATATCTCCTTTATCAGCTTCTTTGTGGCTCCCTACGTGACATTTAGGGGTCTAAAAGACCCCTGATGTCTCCATAACGAGGACCTGACACTGTATATTTGATATCACATAGGAGGATACTTAGCCCCCAATGTGGAAACAAATTACATTAAGTGTAAAAAAAATGAAGAAACTTTTTTTTATTCCCCTGGAGGCCATGTACAATCTCAAACATGCGTCAGTTGCTCCTACATGCAAAAACAACTATTGCGCTCATTACGCTGCACATGTTACATATCGCCGTGCACGTCGCAGTGAGAGCAATAATTCTAGGCCCATTAAATCACTGGTAACTCTAAGTTGATAAGTGATAAAAGCTTTTAAAGCGTCGCCTATGGTCAATTTTGGGTATGATAGTTGTTTTGCCATTTTGCTGGGGCACGCGATTTTAAGGCTTGACACGTTTGTTGTCTGTTTACCCGACGTGACCCCGTCTTTTATATTTTACCTAAACAATTGGGTAATAATGTTCCATAACATAACATAGGGAAACAGGTTTGTTTGTTTTTTTTTCTTTACCTTTTCGGTACTTTTTCTTTTATATAGTAAAAAATAAAACCCCAGTGGTGATTAAACACCACCAAAATAAAGATCTATCTGTCCCCAAAAAATGATATAAAATTAATTTCTGTACAGCGTTGCATGACGGAATAAATGTCAGTCAAAGTACAGCAGCGCTGAATACTGAAAAAATGGCCTGGGCACGAATTTGCCTTGTCATGGACAGACTCTGTTCACACCACTGCGTTGTGATGGGAACGCGGTGGTGGGCGCTAAAAAAAAAAAAAGAGTGCGGCATGCTGTCCTTTTTTCAGCACAGCAAGATGTTAGACGGAACAGCCGCCTCGCACCGCACTGCGTCTGTAGAACTGAATGAAATGTTACTTATGACATTTCAATAAAGTTCTACTACAAAAAAAGTACACAGTGCGGTGTACCGGGATCAGCACTGTGTTTGGCAACGCACACAAGCGTGGCAGTTGTTGTGAATTGGCCCTTAAAGGGTAAGTTCACCTTTTCACAAAAAATAGAAAGCCTGAACTAACTGACAATACCTGCCCCCAGTCCCTGCTGCACTTAGCTGCCCAGATGGCATGCACCATCCGCTCATGCCAGCAGTTGTAATGGACCACATTCTCTACAGGGCACTGGAGGCTTTGTAGCATCATAATGCTGGCAGTGGTGAGCGGTCATTGGGTAGTGTGGCCATGTGACTGCTCTGACAAAGGAGAATCTCCTTTTTTTCTAGTACACCTGCCGGTATGGGCAGCAGTATAACATCTCTGTGTACTCCGAAATGAAAGCATACAGCAGAACAAATCAAAAATGAAATAATAGATGACGTAGTCACACCCACATGTCCCCACCCCCACAAAGTATTTTCCGTTGGCATTGATCAAAACGCAGTTCAATATGTATTATTGCTCATAACATGCATTGAAATATACTTTGCTTGGTCAACATGCATCATGACACCCATCAACATACATTGATGCATATTGTATTGATATATATCATAATGCACGTTAACTCTCGCCTTCACACGTGTGTTGGAACGCTTTCATTTGTTCTTTTGATTTCAGTGGAAAACGCATCAAACAAAAATGCAGAAGCATGAATACAACCAGGATCATTTTGTTTAACAGATTTTAGTCCAAACTTTTGAGTAGGGATGGTGCTGATCAGGGACGTAACTAGAAATCACAGGGCCCCATCGCAAAATTTTGTATGGGGCCTTGTGATTTCTAGTTACACCCCTTGCAGAGCCCACCTGAGATCCCACACAGACTCTCTATGGTGGGCTCTGCAGGGTCTCGGGTGAGCTGGTCACACACCTTGCCTGTCCGCCTCATCTTCCTCCACGGTCGCTGATGGGCTCCTCCTCCGTCACCGGACCCCGCCTCCTCTGGTGTCGACCCCTGGGCCCCGCCTCTTCCTCCACTGCTGGGTCCAGCCTCCTCCTCCGCCGCTGCTGGCTCTCAATGACTCTGCAGCGGCCGCCTGGGTCGCTATGGTGATTGTTAGGCCACTGGTGCTGATACTCACCCAAATGTTCCCGATGCTTACCCTCATGGCGGACCATCCGGTATCAGGAAGCCAGGCGGCGAGTCATTACACGCCGTCCGGCTTTCTAATTGGCCGTGAAGCCGGCTCCCTTGTCACTTGGTGACGAAGGAGCATGGAGCCGGCTTCTCGGCCAATCAGGAAGCCGGGCAGCGAGTCATTACACACCCCCCGGCTTCCTGATTGGCCAGAAAGCTGGCTCCATGGTGACCAGGGATCATGGAGACGGCTTTCCAGGTAATAAGGAAGACGGGTGGCAAGTCATTACTTGCTGCCCAACTTCCTTAATGGGACTTCCGGTATCGGTGCATCCCTACTTCAAAGTATCCAAATTTGAAGCCAAACACAGCTTGGAGAAATCGGATGATAAGCAAAACACGTTTGAGGGCATTTCCTCCTCCTGTGCTGTCGTAACCGAAATATATTTGTCGGCTTTGACTTATCAAGTCATATTTAGAGTTAATGCCATTAAACCAGTTACATTTTATCTCTATGTATGATCACCTTGAAATATCTATGACCAGTCTATACCCACACTGATGCTAAGTGTACTTTTCCCTGAGCTCGGTGCTGGTGGCAGATGCTTTCTGTTACAGTAAAGGGTGCATTGGTAGAAGTGTCACCGAACAAATCCTTTAGGGCTCCAGTTATAGGTCACTGTATGACTTTATCATAATCATACAAAAACATAGATCTCAGTAAAGCACTTTGTCCATTTTGCTCCACTTGCTTTGGGCCTTTTAAAGCAAGTGGTGCACCATTCTGAATGGAAGAGGGGTAGAAGGAGCCAGGAGGAGAGCCATTGAGGTGACCTGTAGGGATGTTCAGATACCAAGTACCCTACTCGGTACAAGTACAGTGTATATATATATAAAATATATATATATATATATATATATATATATAATGTGCAATATAAATGGGTAAGCCGTATTAGTCCAGTAGACAAGATGTCAAAAAAGACAAAAATGCAGTATTGCAGTATGCAATGATACCTTTTTTATTGGACTAACAAAATATATAAAAGACAAGCTTTCGAGAGTGAACCTCTCTTCTTCAGGTCAGAAGCAATACTGATCAACATGACAGTTTGTCAGTTTAGACAGGAGAAAGCTGTTAGAGGAGGGTGGGGGGGTTCGTGGGGTGTCATAAATGTTAGACCTGGGAGTAAAAAATGCCTCCTGATAATCAAAAGA